CAGTAAAAACAAATATACCTAAATAGATTAACAGGGGTTCCATTAGGCACTTTCTAATTTAGGATACTAAAAAGAGAAGAATTGTAAAATGAAAATAAGAAAACAAAGAAAACCCGTTTTGTAGAAAAACAACAAACTTTTACGGCCAAACCCAAAAAAGGAACATTATACAATAAACGGAAAAATTTTCGATGAAACGGAAAATTTTGAAATTTCCGATGCAATAATTTTCCTCACAAATTGAATTCATCAAATATTTTCTCATCCTTTTTCCGGAATTGAAAAATAAGGGAGAGAGAGAGAAACGGAAAAATGTCGAATTTGAGTTTGGTTATGAATATTGTTGTATTTAGGACCCAAAAAGAAAATTGTTTTAATAATATTAAAGAAAAAAATGTGATCATAATAATTTCGATAAATAGTATTGGGAAAGAATTTGATATGATTTATCGAAATTTTTCTTCTACAAAATTAAAATTCTTTTCATTTACGAATTAATATTTTCAGTGAAAATGCAATATACGATGAAAGACGAGAAATATACCAAATGTTTATTTCGAAAATTTTTCGAAAAGGTTAAAGGTAAAATTCGAAAAGGTTAAAGGTAAAATTCATTTCCCAATTTTGAGATGTGATAAGAAATAATAATATAGAAAGAGAAAAGTTTAATAAAGAAAATTGATAATTTGAAAAATGTTTTATTTTTTTTTAAAAAAATTAAAACAATGAAATAAATTGCAAATAAATAAGACATAGTTGAAGAAAATGAAAACAACCGAAAATTACTAAAGCACCGCACATTTCCACTGAATGATAACATGATATTGCCGTGATAACGATTATAATCACTCATCACGAATGGCCCTCATGACAATAGTAATAATAATCATAATAAATTAGAATAAACGATATTATCATATAAGCGATGAAAAGAGAGAGAGAGAGAGCAAAAATGAACTTACTTCAATTTGAGATTAAATTTTCTTATCAATATCAAATTTAAATCATTGTTTTAGTGATAAGATAATGATAATAACTATTTGAATAATTCATTTCTCTCAATTCTATTTTAACTTTTCATTTGATAAAATTATCGCATAAAAATTCTTAATTTTCAAAAAATGATTGTTTTTGTTGTTTTATTTATTTTTGGAGGAAAAGAGAGAAAGAAATGATAATATATTTATATATTAAAAAAATAAATTTAATACAATGAATTCTCCCAGGATTTGTCGCTGCTATTACTTCGTTTATTATCATTCGGCGAATTTTCATCATCGCAATCAATATTGCTATGATTGTTGCTATTGTTATTATTATTATTATTACTATTGTTGTTGTTGTTTGTGTTATTATTGTTTGTTGTAATCGTTATCATTCTCTCATTAGCTATCGTTGATGCTGTTGTTGGTATTGGTGTTATCGCAGATGGTGATATTATCACAGGCGTTATAGGACTTGCTACTGTAGATTTTGGTGTTCGCCATTGTGGTATCGGTCCTAAAACATAAGTTTACTTATTTAATTCAGTAAAAAAAAATATGTTGTTGTTTGTATAATTATTTGTTCCAAGCTTATTTGTTAAGTTTGAATTCAGTTTATTTTATGATTTGCTCGCATATTTGTTATTGTTAATTATCGTCTCATCGTTCGTACTTATATAATTATTTACTTACCTGTTTGCTATATTTAATTAATTCTCTTTTTATCTTTTCCTCTCATTTTATTTTAATATTTTTTCCTTAAATTTTTCAACTAATTACTCATTGTTAGCGAAAGAAAAATAGGAGATTGAAAAATTACGATATTAATAACAAATCTTTAAGGGGATAGAAATGATAATATGAAATGTAATATCGAAATAATATATCAATTATATTAGTTCCTTTTTAATTCATTACCTCACATACTTTCGACTTTTTGTGAGCAAATTTAAAATAGTATTTTATGAAATAAATGAAATTAAAGCGCCACTAAAGTTTTCGTTGTCTTAATCTAATCGATATTTCAGATTGCGAAATCCTGATTCTATCCCAGAAATTGATCTAACATTGCAAAAATTGGTACTAATTCTGATTTTCAATCGAATAAAGAAAGACAAAAAATGAATGGATAAAAGGAGTATGAAATTTTACTTGATTGATTATTTCCAATCAAACAGTTCTGAAATCTATCTCGTTGTGGAAGCTTATATTCGGTATTGCGATATAAATGGAACAGATATGTGGCAATCAGTTAGCATCGAAAAAAAAAGGAAAAATATATATAAATAGAAAAGTAGCATGAGCAATAAAACTTATAACCATCTGGTAATCATCCGGTACTAGATTCCGGTCACTGAGTTAATTTTCCTCATTCATAATGATTAACCAGAAATTCATCAAGCATTCGTTTTTTACCGTTCTACCGAATGAATCAATTTCCCGCGATAATAAAATTATATCATTGGATGTCTCTCATTCGTCCTTCTTATTATTATCATTGCCATTATCACTGTCTGCCTATATCATTATTGAAATGTGTCCCTCATTCCAATTACCTCTTCATCAGCAGTATCGTTTTTATTGCTATTAGCATTTCAAAAGAAATAATTGTGTATCTGTTCCACTAATAAACAGCGGTATGTATGTGTATGTATATTATATATGTACATAGAGACAGGCAGATACACACGTACAGACATTTATAAGAGTATGATACATGCTACCATGTTGTGCTTTCAAGGACAGGGACATTTATGAGAGTTCTTTTCCCCCTAATCGAGAAGTACATCAACGAAAACCCTCCTTTCCTGTCTTTCTCCTTCTATCCCGGAAAACCTCACTGACCAAAACGACTTTTGCTTTGCGGAGAGAGAAAGAGGAAGTAATAATAGTAATAATAATTAATAATAATAATAAATAATAATAATGGTGATAATAATAATAATGATAATCTGTCACTCTTCTCAATCATCATCATCAACTTCGACAAAACTAATACACAAATGTTTCAATGTCAAATCATGCTGACAAATGGGTAAATGTGGAAATGTCAAACATGTGGACAGAAAGACAAAATGAGCAACAATATTTTGCATTTCGTATCATATGTACCTTCAATTTCATTATGATCGCTCATCATTATCGTTATATGTCATGTGGAGATCCGAATGGATGAATATAAAGATTGATTTGGTTAAGTGAAGCTATCGAAGGAAAACGTCGAACTTTTACGTCCTCACGTTTGAACTCTTTGTAGAATAATTTTGATGGCAAAAGAAGACCGACAAATCCCTCTTGAAATATCACAGAATTCTCTCCATTCTCGTATTATCTAATGAAAGGAGCACCACGGTGGGGGGGGAAAGGAGGGAGGGAACGAGGAATGAGAGCAATATGAAGACATATCTGGCAATACACTTGTTACCGGGGGGTATAGTAATAATCGTGATAACAACAGCAATAATAATAACGGTGATAAGGATGATAACAGATTGATCTCATCGTCATCATAATTGTACAACATTGTTGTCTGTCAGTTGTGCGCTATTTACAACTTCATTTACACTGATAATACTAAATGAGGAAATATAAATGTTGACCTGAATTATTTGAAAATTATTTGTTACTGATCAACAATATCCATAATATGTATATACATATGACCCATGCATTCATTATCTCTTTATCATTATCATCCCATGCTCATTCATCCATTTAATCATATTGATGATAATCATAATGATAACAAAGATATAACGACACAATTTTGATTTTATATTATAATAAAATCAAGTCGCAAAATTTGTCATAAATTAAAATTTTTCTTTTTCATTTTCTTTCAAAACAATAAGATATGATGATATGATAAAAAGTAGGGAAAAGAAAAGGATGAAATGATTTGATATATTTCTGATGAAAATAATAAATAAATGAAGAAAATTAAAAAAAGTTTACTTCTACAACTTGAAATTAAATTTCTATGCTTTAATTTAAAACAATGATATTCAAATGCAGAAATATTAATTTATTAATTACAATCTTTTCATATCAATTCTTCTTTTTGTTTTTTTTAATAGATGAAAAAAATTTTTTCAAGAATCCCTCATTGAATTATTTCATTTATTTACTTTCACTATATATTATTTGAAAACAAAAAATATATATCAATGAAAAACGGTAAGCATTATTAGGGATGACGAAGAACTTCCTTGTACTTACAATCTTTTCATTATCAGTTAATTCAAACATATGCTGAATCAACAGTGATAGCCTGTACCGGTGTGTGGAATGGTTAAGAGAAGATTTTATTGACATTACCGATTAATACCAATGCAAATTATGTAACATTGTTGTTTAACCGTTGAAAATCCTACATTTTCAAGTGGTATCATTGTTTTTCCTCGTTTTTTTCTTTCTCTCCTCTTACTCTATTGCATAAACATTATATTATTTTTTTGCACTCAAAATTTAATAATAATAACAATAACAATAAAAAATTCATTCCAGTTTTTGGTCCTTTGACCTCTTTCAAATTTTAATGTAGTAATTATAATGAAAGCAAAGATCATTCCCGAAATATTATATTTATTATAAGTCAATTTAGAAATTATCGATTAATTGAATCATTCAAATTTTTACTTCTAATAATTGAATATAAATGCGGTGATTACCAATGAGATTATTCTCTTCATAATAATGTCTAAATTCTTCCGCATAACAGTTGTGAAAAAAGTAATATTTACTATACCTTAGTTTGAAATAATTGATGCTTACCTTGAGACTAAGTATAACTTTTTAATGTAATATATCAATATGGAAATTGAGATTTGAGGAGGAAAAAAAAATCAAATTTTATAATTAATTAATAGCGCAGGATGATTTATTTAAGCAATCGATTATATAAATTGTTACCTTTTGATAATTAGTAAAAGTTGTTCAACAGGCATATGCCAATTGATGTAATATAATTTGTAACAAATAATTATCAAATTACTATTCATAATATAAAATGAATAACTAACCGTTAGACTGTGAGGTATTGGGTGGTGGCGCTGATAAATGCGCAGCAGGTATTGAATGATGTAGCGTTTGTGGCGGTACACCTGGCATTACGGAACCCATAAACATCGGGTTGAAGAGCATAGGTGGCCGAATTTGACTTGCTTGAGCCATCATTGTTAACAGTTCGGGCCTAGGAAATGGCATTCGAACAGCCATAGCCATTGCTAATTGCTGTTGTTGCCATGGATGAAACTGCATGAAATGCTGAGGAATTTGGCCATTAACAGCGGTGATAGTAGAAGCAATTGAAGGTAGCAATGGTGGTGGTGGTGGTGGGACGGTGTTAACCATAGATGGACCGGTACCAGCTGAATCTGATGGTGGTATCGAATCACGACCATCACTCCATGATTTCCTTTCAGCCGATGTTGATGCTCGTTCACGATCATCTTTACTGCTTCCATATCCAGTACTACTACTATTTGCTTCAGCTGTACTATTCGATAATGTTTCTGCAATTGACCAAATTTTCGTTTTTCTAGGAGTTGATACCGCTGATGCTGATGATCTTAGTATATTACATGATGGTGGTGTTACTGATTTCGAGTGTACATCACCGGATGCATCTGAAAAGTGCTCCAAAAATTATCCAGAAAATATCATCAAATATATACAATGCCTAATGCATTAATTCGATAATAACAAAGTTTGATCGAAACGTAATTTTCGCATATTTTCATGAATGAATCAATTAATTGATATTCTCTAAAATTAAAATGACATTTTTGAAGGTTATCTTTAAAATAAACGTTTAATTGGTAATTGGTGCTTGTTTGTGATTTACCTTGTTCACTGGAATCATTGATTACAACCGAGATATCGCCATCGGAAGCACTACTACACGGTCGATCGGAGTGATTTTGCTCGGATGATCCATCAATATCACCCAGATCATCATCATCATCTTCACCTGGTCGATTACGTGGTGACCAAGTCATCTTGTTTTCCTTCTTTAGCCGTCGACGAGCATTTGCAAACCATGTTGACACCTGAATTTATTTTATTTTCTTTTCTAATCATTTAATCACTCGTTTAGTTATAGTTATTAAGTCGGTTAATTGATAATAAATTTAATTTATCAATTCACATACTCCTTAATGATTTGTTTAAGCTTTCCATTACTTATTTTATTTATTTAATTACTTGAATACTATAATTTTTATCTAACTACTTATTCATACATTTCAGTAAAATTCTTTTTTGCTGTTCATTAATTACAGTACAATAAAATAATATTCAAAACTTTGGTGTAATTTTAAAAGTGACCATAAATTACACCAAACTTTGATGTAATTTTTTAAAAGTGACCATTTAAAAGTGATTATACTGAAATTAAAAATATATCCATTAGATGTATGCTATTAACTGAGAGCTTGTATATTCATCTCAGCAAATTAATTTCAATGAAATATTCGAAATTTGAACTTCAACTAACAGATATGATTGAATGATAGGGCAAATCACCATTGATCATTTCTCTCTTGACAGTGTTGTTTTTAACAAAGCGATGATGTGATTTTACACAATTTTCAAAAGGCAAAAGAAATAAGTGTAATAGTTGAATTATGATTAAAATTGTTAAAATATTTCTAAATTTTTTCATTACCATCCATTTCAATTTCAGTATGGTATGTTATACTGAAATTAAAATGAAAATGATGAATTAATTCATAATGAAAAAAACAATTGAAAATTTTAGAAAAGAAAAAAAAAGGAAAGAGAGTTAGATTAGTGATTTAACCTTCTGATAAGAATAAAAGATCGATAGTTATTGATAATAGGTATTCTTATCATCGATCATAAAAAAACCCGATAGTTCTAATCTATCTTTATTTTATTAGTAATTAAGATTAAAGCTTTTCGAATTTCAGTACAAAAAGTCATAAATTTAAATGCCCATCATTTTGATGGAATTAATAAAATGAAATTAAATTTCATTCCAGTATTACTTTGCTAAAATTTAAATATTATAAA